TGAGATTGATGCAGTTATTAATTCATGTTCATAGTTGTTGGTCCTGTATAGACTCACTAAAAAAAAGAAATACTCACAGATGCTACTTGTAGTTGAAGGTCATTTTTCTCCTGAAGAAGTGACACCATTTTCTCCTCCAGCTCCTTCTTTTTAGCCAATGCCTTCGTTAGATCTTCTTTCATTTTCTCAAAGTTCTCCTTCATGGCTGCCATTTCTTTCTCAGTCTCTGCACTCTTCAGAAGAGGCTTGATCTTGAAGTAGAGCTTCATCCATGGCCAATGTTTGACATTCATGAATGAGCGGATGTTGTATTGGATGGAATAAATTGCTTCTCTGTAAAAAATGTAATAAGTAAATAAGCCTTAACCAGTTGTTGGTAACAAATTGCTTTTTTCCCTCAAACAGTTTTACTGGTATAAGTCAATTATACCTCCTTTCCATCATTTTAACAAACACTTTTCTCATGACATATCCACGGCACAAAGCTTGAGTCATGGTAACCAACGTTGCAAGTTTTTCGTCTCTCATCTCCTCAAGAGTACCCAGCAGACCAGCTTTGAAGAACACCTAAATGAACATTTGGCAGGTATTAGTGGTGTCATGTTGAAGAAGGCAAATAGCATAATTTAATATGGATGAGAAAACAGGTCTATTTTAAAATAATAGGATGACATGCTACAATTAATTTCCAATGTGGCTGTCCACATGCTTTTTTGCCATGCCGTGTGGTATGGATGCAGAGTAGCTCACCTTGGTGTGTCCAAACTTGTATTGGGTGTGATCAACATCAATAGAGCCCAAGAGTTTCTCTGAAGCCTTTTTGTTGTCGATGAACTGTCCCTCAGGAATGACACTAGCATTCAATACTTTGTACCTGGAGAATATTCAGTGAGAGTCATGTTGTAAAACTTCAAAATCAGAATTATCAGATGTTGAAGTATATTTAGTGCATCATGTTTAAGTTAGAGGTAGTGAGAGTATCATTACCGCTGCTTGAAGTCACCGTAGAGGATTCTGCTGGGGAAACCCTTCCTGCAGATTCTGATACCCTCCAGCACACCGTTACACCTGAGCTGGTGGATAACCAGGAAGTTCTCCATCAGACCTGAATGAAAGATATTGTATTGGTTCCAGAAATATTTTCAGAACTGTGACGCATTGAAGCTATTAGAGATCTTGTATACCTGGAGTCTTGGACTCATTAGGAATCAAGCAGCGCACAAAGTGAGGGTGAGTGCTCCTCAGGTTAGTCATCAGCTTACCCAAGTTCTCCTGTGGAAGTGTTTGCATTAGTCTAATCTTTAATGCACAATGAATTTCACATCCTTCATCAGAAGAGAGAATCTGGTTACCCTAAACAGTGCAGACACAGTCTGGAAGGAACCACCCTTCTTCTTGCCTCCTTTCTTGCCGCCGCCACCCTCAGCTGTTTTGTGACAAAAAGTTGTTGTTTACTTTTTGCTGCTTTTCATTAACTCATTCAATGAATTGTTGATTGGTGATCACATTATTAACTGCTGTGTCATTTTCTTGTATAAAGTTAATCTTATGAAACTTTGGAATATGTGATGACATAAGATATTACATTAAAGATAGGCCTCATGGTCCACCTGGGACTCGAACCAGTGATCTTGCTGTGAGGCAACTGTGCTGACTAATTATCCAGCATGCCACCAGGTCTCTCTTAGTTTGAATTGCACAAACTTAAAACATAAGAAGTCTGTAAATGCAGATGGTCGTACCTTCACCTCCATGAGAGGCATACAGGAAGGCCAGACTTTGAGTGAAGACTTTTGGTAGAGTTGCACAACAGAGTCGTTCAGTGGATCCTTGTTCTTATCCAGCCAGCCAACAATGTTGTAGTCCACAGTGCCGGCGTAGTGCACTAGAGAGAAGTGAGCCTCTGCCTTACCTTTGGCAGGCTTGGGCTTCTGGAAGGCTGCAGTTTTGCCCAGATGCTGGTCATGTAGTTTGTTTTTAAAGCTTGTGTCTGTGGCCTTGGGGAACATGCACTCCTCTTCAAGGATGGAGAAGATGCCCATTGGCTGTTAAAGAAATATTCACACTCATTATCAGTACAGGCATGATGTGAATAGGCATTTAAGCTGCTGAATGTCTTCTTACCTTCTCAATGAGCTCAATGCAGGCAGCTAAGTCCATACCGAAGTCAATAAACTCCCATTCGATGCCTTCTTTCTTGTACTCCTCTTGCTCCAGAACAAACATGTGGTGGTTGAAGAACTGTTGCAGTTTCTCATTTGTGAAGTTGATGCAAAGCTGCTCCAAGCTGTTGAACTGGTAATAGAGCAGAGGCAAGTTCTTACTATGTTCTATGTTTTACTATGGATATAAAAGGCTGATTCTTACATCAAAGATCTCAAATCCAGCAATGTCCAGCACACCAATGAAGAACTGTCTGGGCTGCTTTGTGTCCAACATCTCATTGATACGGATGACCATCCACAAGAACATTTTCTCATAGACAGACTTGCAGAGAGCTGACACTGCGTTGTTCACCTGAGAAATTCAAGAGTCGGTTTAGTTGATATTAGGCTTTACCTTCTACTGTTCAGGTCTATTAGAAATTTCTAGATGCATTCATCTATCAAGCAGGTAAGTGATCACCTGCGGAACTGTCTGGCCTTTGGTCACCATCTCGTTTCCGACCTTCACTCTGGGGTAACACAGAGCTTTCAGCATGTCAGCAGAGTTGAGGCCCATGAGGTAGGCGATTTTATCAGCCACTGAGGAAGAACAGATTTACACATTATTGTCACTGATGAAGCCAATGTTGGCATGCTAATATGTGCTTCTGCCATGTCTTACCCTCAGTGCCATCAGGTTCAGCCTGCTCCTCTCTCTGCTTCTGTTTGAACTTCATGCTCCCATGATGCATCACAGCACCGGTCAGCTTGTAGATGGCGATTTTCTCATCAGCAGTGAAGCCCAGAATGTCAATGGCAGTCTGTTTTACACAAACCAATTAAACATATAACTCGAAAGCCAAAAAGAGACAGATATCTTATAACACATGTAATGCAGTATTGAGGGTTATTTTCTATCTATGTCTATATATTTCATTAAGACAACACTGATATTATTTTTTGTCCACATACATCTGTGGCAATGAACTCCTCCACATCATTGATGCTCTTGACAGTGATTTCACCCTGGCTGATCATTGGATAGTCATAAGGGTTGGTGGTGATGAGCAGGGCCTCTGTGAAGAATTGATGTACAGTATATGTTAACAGGGTTTTCAAGAAGACCTGAAACAGACAGTCCTGTAGGTTTCTCACCCAGCAGCTCTGGCTTGTGTCCAGTCATGAGCTGGTAGAAGATGTGGTAACTCCTCTCAGCAGACAGCTGGAATGTTACTCTTGACTTTTCCAGCAGGTCTTTCAAAGAAAAAAACATAGTAAGACATGGACTAGTCTTGAATAATTGACATGCCTTTAAATTTGAATACTTGACTAACATGTTTCAATGTCAGCTGAGGCCAGTTTTCCAGTGGTCCCAAAATGAATCCTGATGAATTTGCCCTATAAAGATTAAAATAATTACAATGGTTTACCAGTTTAAAATCTATTCAAATGTGCAATTGTTTAATTGTGTACATTTGTAACTTACAAAACGAGAGGAGTTGTCGTTCCTCACAGTCTTGGCATTACCATAAGCCTCCAGCAGAGGGTTTGCAGCAATGATCTGGTCCTCCAGTGACCCCTGGATGGTATTTTAGTACAGTGGACAGGTATTAGGTGAAGTTTAAATTCTGTAATTCACCACATGAATAGGTGTTCACTGACCTGCATTTTTCCAGCAACAGGCTCTTGTTTCTTTGCTCCAGACATGGCACCAACAGTTGCAAAGTACTGAATGACACGTTTCGTGTTCACAGTCTTTCCTGCACCAGATTCTCCACTATAGAGATTTACACAAGATTATCATTTGTTTAGAAAATATATGGTTCACATTATCATATTAATTTTTTTTGTTGTAGGAAAATATTTACTCACGTGATCAGGACAGACTGGTTTTCACGATCTGAAAATTATTTTAAAATTAAAGGTAGAATTGTTGTTAATGGAATCTTAGCAATGTTTTCAAAACAGGTGACACCTAAATAACTCAATAGGCTGTACTGTTGAATGAGAGATTGTATTGGTGTTTCCCAGCACTGGAGGTTCATTAGGTTCAGTGCTAGGTTGTGGCTATCTACTGTACAAATTGCGGATTGAGTAAGTGATAACACTGATTATTAGTATAGTTAGGTGTTACATAAGGACTTAAAGACACTCTTAAGAGCACCCTTTTCCATTGAAAATGCTTAATTTAAATCAAATTGATACTATATCTCGTTAGCTAAATTAAGTTTGTCACAATGTAAGTGACTCTCTAGCTTGTTAAGCACAATTTACTAGAAGCTGATCTTCATTCCCCTTTTTAGATTTGCATTTATTTGCATTATACAAATAACAAAATATAGTGTCTTCCGCTAAACCTGTCTAATGAGTTAAATTTGAATTTATTTTAACTACTTATTACATTTTGCTTTTTTTGAGCAAGTAAAAGTTACATAATTTAGTTTAAACATCAGGTCAAGTAATGTTACCATTAATTCTGGTGCACTTTATTCAGTAAAGATTGTTAAACTGCAAAGTCAGTAGATGATTTAGGTTTTTCATCTAAATCTCTGAATAACAATAAAGTCATTATTTTAATTAAGTTATCATATTACTCAGTGTTTGTTCATCTCATCAGTAATGCAGTTTAGCTGCAGTTCTGCCAAAAGCTAAGTTTGGTGTTCAGTTCACTGTTCATTTCAGTTTAGAAATGTCGTTTTTCTTTTTCTTTGTGTAAAAGTTTGAGTTAACTCTCACTTGAATCCACTCACCAGTAAGCATGAACTGGTAGGCATTGTCAGAGATGGAGAAGATGTGAGGTGGGGCTTCAATCCTCTTCTTGCCTCTGTATCCAGCCACAACAACTGCGTCGTACACTGGGAGCCATTTGTATGGATTGACAGTGACGCAGAACAAGCCAGAGTAGGTCTGAAACAGAGATTGACAGTCCAGTTTTACAGTGCTGCTACTCCATCCCAGGAGTAAAATAAGATTCACAGAGACTCACATAGATCATCCATGCTGCGTAACGCTCTTTGAGGTTATACAGCACACAAGGCTCATTGAGGTGGGTCATCATGGCCATGTCCTCAATTTTGTCAAACTTGGGAGGATTCATGGGGAAGATTTCATCTTCTTTTACCGTGACGGTCTGAAATGAACATTGAGACTTTCTGTACACACCGCTGCAAAGTACTTTTCAGAACTTGGTATTTTCTCTGTCATACTTACTTTCCCACTGTGAGTTTTGACAGTAGCTTTGCCACCCTCTTTACTCTGAAGAGTACCCTTCAGGTACATCTCGTCTGCATCCACCACAAAGTACGCTGTTTTGGCATCAAAGGGAGTGTTCTGGGCCTCTATTCTCTCTCTTTCTGTTTTCCGGAGGTAAATGGCCGCCGGGCCGAAACACTCCATTTCTCCATCCCCCATGGTTGCGGTTTACTGTGGAGTTATATATACATCTTATTACAGCTTAGTGTCTATCTCTTGACTTTGCTCAAGTATCCACATTAAGAATGTGTTATTCTTTCACTAACATCACAATATTTATTTGCTAGTGGTATGGTTTACCTTTTTTGATGCTCAGAGATGAAAGTAGCAGATGTCGAGTTATGGATTCTGAAAAAACAGGAGTTTGGATTAGTACTCATAATTTAATTTCAGACACTCAGCCCTTCTACATGAATTCTTGTGGTAAAATGGGCAGTTCCCTCACCTGTGGCTGGTCACTGTGAGTCTGCAGGGGTCAGGAGCTGCCTTTTATATAGAGTCATTACTGAGCACTCAGCAAAACAGGCCATCCGCATTTGGTCATGTTATTTTACTCGGTGTGATGTTTCTCTGTGCCCGAGAGAAATAGGCAGATGTTGTCATTCATCTAATATGAACACTACTGTCATATTGGTGTATGCATGTAGTAATTTTAGGTGAACAGATGCAGCAATGTCACAGAATGTTATTTTGTAGGTTGCAGTTTTCAAATCAATATTATTTTTTAGGAAAACACAGCATGTTTATGAGTTTCATTTGATGCCACTGTGTTCCTATTTTAGTTTAACATTTTAAATCAATGGAAGAAATGCTCTAAGAAGAAAAAGCAGTCACATGTCACTAGGATTCTGTTCCAAGTGACAGCAAGACATGGAACCTGAAATATATGTAAGCTAAAATCTTTCTTGGATCTTGAAGAGCTCAGCAACCTCTTTCACAATACTAACTGTAGTATTGGAGAGTTTTCTAAAATGTCTTTAAACCTCTGTTGAAGTTTGAGTTGACATTTGGCATTCAGCTGTCTAGGGGATGAAGGTGTGTTATGGGGTTTATGTGAACTGTACACCAGGATTGTCGGTTCCTGTTTTTCATTTTCATGCAGGTTTGATATAAATGTTAAAGATCACTCTAGCAGAGAGCAGAGAGGACATCTTGGCTGATTTTCCAAAAATTCTTCCATCTATTGCCAGCAGGAGATAAAATTCAAATCTTAAAAACCTCAAAGATTTATTACCAGAGATGGGCTGTAGCAGTTCATCCTCCCTGTGAAAAATAATATCTCTGGCTTTTTTTAATTTATTTATTGGGCAGTTAAATATCAGTTGTCATGGCATAAAATGAAAGGGTCTCATAGTAATTTTGTGACTCAAAGTTATAAGCAGCTTGTGCTTATATGGAGAAATCTTAAATATAGCACAGCATGGGCTGCTGTTTGTATTACGAGGTTTAGGTCACTTATCCATACAAGCGGATGTGAAGACTCGATGGCAACTGACAGTAAGTATTCTGCATCAGTTTTGATTCACTTTAAAGAAACTGAGCTTAGTTGAATGTTTTATATTTTCATTTCATGCTTCAAGTGTATTATTTTAGTGTGTTTGACATTTCACTTGGCAATTATTCATTTTGAGAGGCATTCTGACAAGAAAGAGACTCTAGCTTTTGTTTAAAATGAGCATACTGTAAATGTTTTAACCAGCATTTGTTGTAGTATTTTGAAAGTATGTGTTTTTAGATAAATATTATTCTTTTGCTTTGCCTTGCCACGTGCTTGCCTGCAGCTTACATTAAAATGATTGTGGACTGCTGTAATAAGTTAGACCAGAAATTACAGGAAAAGATGAACCTGCAGAGCTGTGGTTATATCAATGCAAAGGGCTATAACCAGCAATAGACCCAACAAAGAGTCTTTTATAAAAGTTTGTCTTGTTTGTTTTAATACTGTAATGGTTCTACATTTACCCAAGGTGAAATATTTACCCATGTTTCCTAGAAAGCATTACCTGTGTAGCAAATACTATCTGTTGATTTGAAAGGGCAATGATTTTCCTAAATCCAAAATTTGTGTAACCATGGCACATTCTCCCAAATAGTTTTAATATTGGTCGTTGCTTTCATATATGTAAAGTGAAGCTGTTGCAATTCTTATAGAGTAATTTATAGCTTGCAGAATTCAGGACAAGCTGGACTTTGATATTGAAAAGCAAAGCAATACAACACACCAAACAATCATTTTTAACTGACTTCATTTCATCACCAGGAGCCACAGATATACTCAAGTTTTTAACTTTCAGAATAAGGGGAGCTTCTAACTCACATTTTATGGACACATTTGAAGCTAAAAATCTATTTTAGCTCTACTCAAGATAGAAATGGCTTTAGGGGGAGTTTACTTAAAGCATATTTTAATTTTTAGGATTATTTAGGCAAACATTAAAGGCTTGTTACATCATAAAATGATGAAAAGAGTTGCATGTAAAGCTTCTGTATGTAAGAACACTTTATTTGCCTTTCAATACTTTTTATATAAATTAAGAAATCCCTCATCCAAAGCAGGTTAGAGACTAGTACTCACATATTTGTGATGCATTATTTGTGCTCTGTGTAAACATTTGTTGTAGTCTTGTTTTTTTAGTTTGTTCACACTTTTTAATTTAGTTTCTTGTCTGTTTTCATTTTTTAATCTAATGCCAGTTTTATAAATATCGAAAGGATAAACGAGGCATTTATGTAGAACCCTGCTGCGCTTCACTGCTATCCACCATAGAGCACTTTACAGTCACCTCAGGGGATCTCTCCTTAATCACCACCAGTGTGCTGCATTCACAGCAGTGCACTCAACACAAGCCAGGTGTAGATGAAATAATGAGCGAGATATTCAGCAGATGGGGCCTTATTAGCCCGGGTTAAGTTTAGATGTTAGACGAGAACACTCCTTCTCTTCTTACTCTAGCTCTTAATTCTCTGAGCACTAACAGTTCCTTTGTATAATTAGCATGTCTTGTGTGTCTCGCCTTGTGTGTATTGCCTTGGCAAAAGCGTCTGCTAAATGACTAAATGTACATGTGAGAAGGCCTGGCTCATAGTCTTCACTCTAATTTGTCCCAAAGGTGTTCGATTGTGTTTGGATCAGTGCGATTCCTCTGCCAAACCCCTTGCTTTGAAGGGGTTTAAAACATGAATTCTTTCTTCAATGCATCACAATGCAGATGCAGATTTTTCTGACATCATTTTCCACATATGCCCAATGTTACAGTGGCATACTATAGCAAGGGAAGTGGGACACAAGTGTGAGTAAATAATGCGTGCACATGCAATGAACAGTTCCACTCCTCTCTCAGCTGGCAATATTTATGAAAACAGGTTTGTTTGTGGATAGTCTAATTTCAGTTTAAGTACAAAATTAAGTATATTTAAGTATACTTAAACTGAAAAGTTGTAGTATATTTGAATTTGTTTATTGACTTACTTTAAAGTATAGTTATATATTCCAAGTATACTTGGTTTGTAGTAGTTTTACTCCCTTGATTGAGTGGCCTAGTCATGTTTGTACGGCACGCTTGAGTGTTCTAAATTGAAAACAATTTGCAGTGACTGATCTAAAAATACATCCCTGTTGTTTTGTCTGAAGATGCACAGCAGTAATTTGTTCATCTGTTAATTAAGTCATACCCAATAAAAAACAATATGCCAGACTAACAGACCTATATTAGTCAGTATAGGCCTACTTCTGATGTGTTAATGATTAGTTAACTATGCTCACTACTCTTATTTTAGTGCATTTATATCTCATAAATATACACCTTCTGTTTAAAAATGTATTCAAAATAGTCTACTGTCTTCAATAACAGTCCAGTATAACACGGGAAAACTACTTCACTAAGGGTATGTAATGTTGTCATGAAGGATGATTGCAGGATAAAACTGCTAAGGGTTTAGTGATGGTAAACTCACTTGTGGCCTAATAAAGGGTCAGACTTAGAATCCAAAGGTTGGAGGTTTGAGCCCTGACACCACCAGGAATTGTTGCAGTGTGGATTAAATGCAATTTTCAAATACTGAGCATGTGGCAAAGTTCACACACTATTTACCACATATAGTGTAAAAGTATACTTTTAATATAACCACAAGTTCACTTGCAGTACGAATGAAAAATGTCATTGTAGACTAAACGTGCACTTAAAACTACTGTAACACTTAAAAGAATAAGTTTATATACAAACATTGGCCCAATTTAGTCCCAAAAGGTATTCAAGTCGTATACTTTTTTGTGAGGGCCACATGCTGTTACTCACAAGTTTTCAAGCATTGCTACACATATTTATATTGACTTAAACTCCACACCCAGCTGTGTGGGGCTGTTGGAATGGTCCTTAAGTTCCACTCAGATTGGACGGATAGCTCCCCCTGCTGTTCCCACTACCCTCTTCCAGCAGAATCCTAGTTTTCCCAGGTCTCCCATTAAGGTCCCAACCCCACTCAGTGCTATAGAGGAAATGGCTGTCACACTGTTGTTGGCAAACAGATTCTGCGTTGTTTCTGTTAATCTATGTGAAGCTGCTTTGGTTATATATGTCTTGTATGACAATCGTTTAATAAGTGGACATCACATTTTTGTCCAAAATTTTATAAACAATAAACCGGCTTTTTTTGTTTTATGCAGTTAAGTCTGTTTACTGTCCTCCTTTTTTCCTCATGCTTTATGTCTTTGTGTTGTTTTGATTTTTAATTCTTCCTCATGTTGTGTAAATTGTCTTTATTATTCATTCATTCATTTTCTTGTCGGCTTAGTTCCTTTATTAATCCGGGGTCGCCACAGCGGAATGAACCGCTAACTTATCCAGCAAGTTTTTTACACAACGGATTCCCTTCCAGCCGCAACCCATCTCTGGAAACATCCACACACATTCACACACACACTCATACACTACGGAAAATTTAGCCTACCCAGTTCACCTGTACCGCAGGTGTTTGGACTGTGGGGGAAACCGGAGCACCCGGAGGAAACCAATGCGAAGACAAGGAGAACATGCAAACTCCACACAGAAACACCAACTGAGCCGAGGTTCGAACCAGCGACCTTCTTGCTGTGAGGCGACAGCACTACCTACAGTGCCACTGCCTCGCCTCCCCTAAATTGTCTTTAAATAGAGGATTATGTGAACGTGTGTGAAGGGTAAAGAAAATATGAAAATCAAAGTCACAATTTGCCATTTTTTATTGGGTGTAGGAAAACTGAGCAAAGGTCATATTATATGCTTGCTTAAGGATGTTTTATTGTCTTCATTCTTCATCTTTACTCTTGAAAATGCAAAATAAAATAATTAGTTTTTCTCAAAATTTTTACATAAATACCATATATATTCACTTTTCTGTACATCATTTATTGGTACCTTTCCTGCATCGCGGCTCTTGGCTCTCAGCTTGTTGACCTGGGACTCGGCGATGTCAGCACGCTCCTGAGCCT